CGATAATTTTTGCTTTATGATGAGCTCTCAGGAACGGATTAATAACGTGAACTGGGTCCACTGTATAAGAAACACATTACATAGCATATAAACATGCAAGTTTATATGTTATCAAGGGGCGAGTCGGTGGGGGGAAACATTACGTTTTTTCTCTGGTCTAGCATTAGAGAAAACGTGTATGAATCTGCGTTTGGCCTAGTCACTCCCCACTCTGCCTTTTTTTTTTTTTACAATTCTCATCGTGAATTATTCATTACTTCTCCCTTCGTTTATGATGGCATCAAAAGGTAGTTGTTAGAAACGATTAAATTCATTGAACAAAGTATGTCGATGGTAATAATATGGCTCTGGGCCGTGTAGGTAGGAAGGTGAGTAGTAGTCTAAGGTACACCTACCGGCTACTACTCACCTCCCACCCTACATTAAGACTACATATATATTAAGGTAAATAATGAGTGTACTGTACGTGTATTTTATCTCCTTGGGTTGCTTTAAATATCGTATATTAAATATGAGAGAGGGAGCCAGGGCTACCTACACCTGCCTTCCTACAAATAAGTACAGTGGACCCTCGCCTAACGCTATTAATCCGTTCCTGAGAGCTCAACGTTAGGTGAAATTATCTTTAGGCAAATTAATTTTCCCCATAAGAAATAATGGAAATCAAATTAATCTGTGCAAGACACCCATAAGTATGAAAAAATTTTTTTTTTACCACATGAAATATTAATTTTAATACACACAAACTGAAGAAGACATGCACAGTTACATGACACTTACCTTTATTGAAGATCTGGTGATGATTGATGGGATGGGAGGAGGGGAGAGTGTGGATGGTCTTAGTGTTTAGAAGGGGAATCCTCTTCCATTACGACTTGAGGTAGCAAGTCCTTTTCCGGGGTTACTTCCCTTCTTCTTTTAATGCACTAGGACCAGCTTGAGAGTCACGGAAACTTCTGTCGCACAACATATCTGTCCATAGAGGCCTGTACCTCTCGTTCCTTTATGATTTTTCCTAAAGTGTTTAAACAACATTGTCAGTGTAATAGTCACCAGAACGGCTTGCAATACCTGTGTGAAGGTGATTTTCATCCATGAAGGTTTGCACTTCAAGCCCTTTGCACATTTTTCCTTAATCTTTGAAGTAGGCAACTTCTTCAATTTCTCTCTCCCCTCCTCCGAAGCAGTTTCCTCAGGTCTGGCCTCTGCTGTTTGAAGATGAAACTAGCAGCTCAATCAGTGGTTAGTTCTCATTGTCCTCCTCCACCAACTTTCCACATCCCCCCCCCCTAACCTCCAACCCCAAGGACTTCCCCAATGCACAATTGCCTCAACTGGCATACGCTTCTCAGGGTTAGCCTCAAATCCTTCAAAATACCTTTTGTCTACACATTCTGGCCCCAGTTTCTTCCAAGCAAAGTTTAAGGTCCTCTTAGTCCCACTCCATCCCAAGCCTTACCTATAAGGTTTACAACACTTGAGGATATTTAAAGTGCCTCTTCCTCCAAAACTCTCTTTGAGTCAATTGAATTTCTGAGGTCACTGCAACCCACCTTTCAAACATAGCTTTTGTGTACAGTTTTTTGAAGTTTGCAATAACCTGCTGGTCCATGGGCTGCAGAAGAGGAGTGGTATTAGGAGGCAAAAACTTGATCTTAATGAAGCTCATGTCTGCAGAAAGTTGCTCTGCCACGTCTGAAGGATGACCAGGGGCATTGTCTAACACCAGGAGGCACTTAAGGTCAAATTTATTTTCAATTAGGTAATTTTTCACAGTGGGAGCAAATGCATGGAGTAACCAGTCATAGAAAAAGTCCCTAGTGACCCATGCCTTTTACTGTTTGCCCTCCACAGCACACACAAATTAGCCTTGAGGACATTGTTTTGCCTGAACGGTCTGGGAGTTTCAGAGTGATACACCAATAAAGGTTTCACTTTGCAATCACCACTAGCGTTGGCACACATCAACAGAGTAAGCCTGTCTTCCATAGGCTTATGTCCTGGGAGTCCCTTTTTTCCTCCTGAGTAATGTAGGTCCTGCTTGGCATTTTTTTTCCCAAAACGGGGCCTGTTTCATCACAATTAAAGACTTGTTCAGGGTTTAGTCCTTCACTGTCTATGTACTCCTTGAATTCATGCACATATTTTTCAGCTGCTTTGTGGTCCGAACTGGCAGCCTCACCATGCCTTATCACACTATGTATGCCACTACGATTCTTAAATCTCTCAAACCAACCTTTGCTGGCCTTAAATTCACTCACATCACCACTAGTTGCAGGCATTTTTCTAATTAAATCCTAATGTAACTTCCTAGCCTTTTCACATATGATCACTTGAGAGATGCTATCTCCTGCTATCTCTTTCTCGTTTATCCACACCAATAACAGTCTCTCAACATCTTCTATCACTTGCGATCTCTGTTTCGAAAAGAAAGTTGCACCTTCGGCAAGAACAGCTTCCTTGATTGCCGTTTTCTTGGCCACAATAGTAGCGATGGTTGATTGGGGTTTACTATATAACCTGGCCAGCTCTTGCAGCTCTTCAGTGGTAAGCTCTTCCCTGTGGTCCTCCACCAATTCTTCCACATCCTCACCACTCACCTCCAACCCTAGGGACTTCCCCAAAGACACAATAGAGTCCACAGGGTCGGCAGAGTCAGGGTCACGGTGAGTCTCAAACCCTTCACAATCCCTCTCTTGGACACAATCTGGCCACAGTTTTCTCCAAGCAGAGTTCAAAGTCCTGAAAGTCACTCCCTCTCAAGCCTTACCTGTAAGGCTTTTACAATGGAGGATAGTGAAGTGATTCCTCCAGAACTGTCTTCCTCCGAAACAGGCCTGTTTCATCACAATTGAAAACTTGTTGGGATTCGAATCTTTCAGCCTTTACATAGTCCTGGAATTTGTGAACATACTGTTCTGCTGCACATTTGTCAGAACTTGCAGCCTCACCATGCTTTACAACACTGTGTATGCCACTACACTTCTTAAATCTATCAAACCATTCTTTGCTGACCCTAAATTCACGAACTGCAGCACTTGTTCCAGGCATTTTCTTTGCAAGATCCTCATGCAACTAACTGCCTTACCTTCTCACAAATAGTAGACTCCACTACACTGTCTCCCACTAATTCTTTTTCCTTAATCCACAATAATAATAACTTTTCCATCTCTTCCATTATTGGTGGCCTTTGTTTAGTTAGAAAAGTTGTCCCTTTTGCAACATTAGCATCTTTGATTTGTTCTTCCTTTGCCAGGATGGATGTAATTGTTGATTTATTCTTGCTGTACATCCTGGCAAGTTCCACCACCTTCATACCACTCTCAAACTTTTAAATCACTTCACGCTTAAATTCCACGGTGTTTCTCACTTTCTTTACCACAGGAAACTTTCTTTGGAGCCATGGTTACTTATTTCACAGTTGCACTGCAAGAAAAACCACTAAAAACAATGGTAAACAAGTGAAATGTTTGGATGTATGAGCGGAAGCCTCCTCAGCCACCACGAGACAAAGCCAAACTGAAGGGCAAGCTGCCCCAGCCGGTGGATGGATGCGTCCAAAACTGCCGATAACCAAGCAAACGGCCGATAACCGGGCACCAAAAAACCCGCCGATAACCGAGTTGGCCGATAACCAAACCAGCCGATAACCGGGGTCCACTGTATGTACTTCATGTATATTGTGTAACAGTTTAGTCGAGCTCATATTTTGTGATAAAGAATGTGCGAGTGTGTTGGCAACGTTAACAACTGCTCGTTCTTCCCACTCTCCAACCTCCCAACTTCCCTCCACCCTCTGTTCCTTAGTACTATTACTTTTATTATAGAAAATGCAAGTCAAATGATACTTTATTTTTAAATAAAATTATTAGTATGAATAATATAGCTTATTTAGAAGAGCGTTGTGGTTATCAATCTGACAGCATTAAGACAGAGACAGACCCTTGGCCCACAGCAATCCTTAAACCAAAGAACATGACTCATGAAATCGTAATGACACGATTGCAAACAAACCAAACCCCGGCCGGGATTGAACCCGCGGTCAGAGAGTCTCAAAACTCCAGACTGTCGCGTTAGCCACTAGACCAGCTAGCCACAATAAGATTCGTCTACCTAGGTATACCCGGCCGGGGTATGGTTTCTTAAACCAAAGAATAATAGGACAGTGGCAACCTGAGGTTTTTCTTGATCATTTTTTCAGATTTTTGGGGATAGCTTACACTCATTTTAAGGATATTAGTCTAGGCATATTTATTTAGTCAATTTTTTCCTTACAGCTGATAATATGTGATATTTTTAGTGATGTTTGCAAGTGGTTGAGGTAGTGGCTGGTGATACTTGTGGCAGGTGACAGCTGTGAAACTGTCTCTCAAATGTTTGTACAGGTATTATACAGGATCACAGCAATCCTCTCCACCAGTTCTACATCAACAAACACCAACATCTATAATGTGAGGAATAGAAAACCTAGACTATTTTTAGGGCTTAAAAAATTACAATGTTTAATTTTTTTTTTTTAGTTTTCTGGTGTGGGGGGGGGGGAGGGGTGTCCAGAAACTTAACTATTTTCTCATATGTTCTTCAGTTCATTTTAGATTTTTTTTTTGATAGGCACTGTATTCCAAAAAAATAACTACTGTTTTAATCAACAGTCGACTTAATAAAAAGAAATTAAAAAATTATTATTACTGGATTAAGAACTAACCCTCAGGTTGAAGATAAATCATTAGATTCATTTTGGTCCAGAACAGCTAAAACATATCATAAGATGTATTTCCAATTTGTTGAAGTTTTGAATTGTTCCACATATGGTGTTGACATTTATTCAACAATTACATAAAATTCTCAAAAGTGTACAAGTTGTGTACCAGGCTGCTAGCAGCAACAGCCTGGCTGACCAAGAAGTCAATAGCAAAATCTGACTTCAGTCAGGTCTCAGAGTAAACAAACTTTGTAGCTAGTAAGAGATGTCATAAGCAAAATGGAGGTTTTTGTCTTACCCGGTGAGAGTGGTCTAGAGGAACTTGGAGAAGGATTATACGGCACTGGACTAGACAGTGTTCGATGCCGCTGTGAAGTGATCTCATTATAGTGACGTTCTTCCTCCATTTCTAAACTAGACTCTGACTCTGACAGATGACGACAGAGAGCCTCCCTTCGTTCAACTTCCATCTGTAGCTTTCTCTGTAAGCGAAGATTCTCTTCACGGATTAAGCGTTCCTCATTAGCATACTGCTGAGCTGTGCGGTTATCTGAAATAAAAAATCACTTATTTTTTCAGTCATACAAGATGAGCCTTTACATTAGACACTCTAATTTTAAGAGTTTTTGGAAAAATTTGAGTATGTATATACAGTGGATCCTCGAATTCCGTAATTAATTTGTTCCGGAGAGTGAGTGATGAAAGGTGAAATTTACAAATGGAGAAACCATTTTCCCCATAAGAAATAATGTAAATCCAATTAATCCATTCCACACGTACAAAAATATTAACAAAAAGTATTTTTTTTTTACATTATAGTTTTTTTTTTTCAACAAGTCGGCCGTCTCCCACCGAGGCAGGGTGACCCAAAGAGAAAGAAAATCCCCAAAAAGAAAATACTTTCATCATCATTCAACACTTTCACCTCACTCACACATATCACTGTTTTTGCAGAGGTGCCCAGAATACAGCATTTTAGAAGTATATACAAATAAAAATACACAATATACCCTCCAAACTGCAATATAAAAAACCCCTCCTTTAGACAGGCATTGTACTTCCCCATTTCCCGGGACTAAAGTCGGGTTATATAAATAACCGGTTTCCCTGAACCCCTTCATAAACATTCCCTGCTCACACCCAACAGCCGCGGGTCCAAATACCATTCGGTCAATTCACTCCTATCTAACACCTCACGCATGCTGCTAGGAAGGCCAAACCCCTTGCCCACACACCTCCGTTACCCCCTCCATCAACCTTTCGAGACGACCCCTACCCCACCTTCCTCTCACTACAGATTTATATGCACCTCCTGTCATTCTACTTTGATCATTCCATCTAAATGACCAAATTTTTACCTCAACAACCCTCTTTCAGACCCTCTAATACTTTTTGAACTCACACCTTCTACCTAATTTCCAAAATCCGAATTTTCTGCATAATATTTACACACACATTCCCAAAGACTGGACATCTCCACTGCCTCCAACTGCCTCTCACTGCAGCTTTCACAGCCCAAGCTTCAACACCCATATAAGATTTGTTGGTACTACTATACTTCATACATTCCCTTCTTTCCTCCATAATACACTTTTGCCTCCACATATACCTCAAGACACCACTCACCTTTTTTCCTTCAACAATATCTATGATAACCTCATCCTTCAAAATCCATAGCCGACAACGCAACTCCCAGTATCTGAAAACATTCACTTCTTTCCGTACTCCTTCCCCAATTTGATATCCCATTTTCTTCATCTAAATCATTTGATACCCTCATCACCTTACTCTTTTCTATGTTCACATTTAACTTTCTACCTTTACACACACTCCAAACTCATCCCCTAACCTTCACAATTTTTCTTTAGAATCATCTTCCCATAAGACCAATAATAAACAGCAAAAAAGCAACTGTGTTAATTCCATTTTTGTATTTGATTCCCCATTAATTTAATCCCACCTCCTCTCCCAAACCACCCTACATTTAATTCTTTTACAACCCCCATCTATAAACAATTAACAACCATGGTGACATTCCACACCATCCCTGTCTAGACCTACTTTTAACCAGGAAGTATCTCCCTACTCTTCTACACACCCTAACTGAGCCTAACTATCCTCATCAAAACTTTCTATTTTACAAATTTAGTATACATTCCACCTATTCCCATATTACTGCAACATTCTGCCACATTGCTCCTCTATCCACTCTATCATATGCCTTTTCTAATCCATAAATGCAATAAAACTTCCCTACCTTATCTAATACTGTTCACAATAATGTTTCAATGTAAACACTGATCTACACATACCCTAACCCCCCCCCCACTCTGAACCATTTCCTTGTCATCTGCAACGCAGTCTGTCTTACCTCTAATTCATTTCAAATTATAACCCTACCATTGCACTTTTCCTAGTATACTCAGTAAACTTATTCTCTATAATTTTTACAATCTCTTTTGTCCCCCTTCCCTTATATAAAGGGACTATACAATGCTCTCCGCCAATCCCTAGGTACCTTCCCCTCTTTCATACATTTATTAAACAAAAGTACCAACCACTCCAACACTATATCCCCCCCTGCTTTTAACATTTCTGTCATGATCCCATCAGTTCCAGCTGCTTTACCCCCTTTCATTTTACGTAATGCCTCACATACCTCCCCCACACTTACATTCTGCTCTTCTTCACTCCTAAAAGATGGTATACCTCCCTGTCCAGTGCATGAAATTACCGCCTCCCTTTCTTCGTTGACACTTAAAAGTTCCTCAAAATATTCTCGCCATCAAATTCAAAATGGAAAGAAAGCATAATATAAGAGGGGCCTGGAGATGTGATTAATGAACAGAGGAAATGTTTTAGTGCCAGGAATACCTACACTGTTTATTCTGGACCCTATTTTGAAATTGGCAATTTCTGAATTGCGTGCAAAATTGGCCAAATTACCGATTTCTGACTACTTTATTGGGTAGTTGAATTAGGTAAATGAGGAATTTTTTGTACTCATTCGACAGAACAAAAGGAATGCTAGTGAAATTGCTATGAGTTTGGTCAACTGGAACAATGGAATTGGCTGAAAATAGGGCTCAAGGTAGATGAAATCGCTGATGCACAAATATTGCTGAGACTGCTAACTTTGAGAAGGCATAATTCCAAAGGTTTTCCATCAAATTTCACACTTTTAGTTTCAGTATAGGTAGTAGGTTGGTAGACAGCAACCACCCAGGGAAGTACTACTGTCCTGCCAGATGACTGTGAAACAGAAACCTGTAACTGTTTTGCATGATGGTAGGATTGCTGGTGTCTTTTTCTGTCTCATAAACACGCTAGATAACAGGGATATCTTGCTACTCCTACTTACACTTTGGTCACACTTCACAGACACGCACATGCATATATATATATATATATACAGACATCTAGGTTTTTCTCCTTTTTCTAAATAGCTCTTGTTCTTTATTTCTTCTATTGTCCATGGGGAAGTGGAAAAGAATCTTTCCTCCGTAAGCCATGCGTGTCGTATGAGGCGACTAAAATGCCGGGAGCAATGGGCTAGTAACCCCTTCTCCTGTAGACATTTACTAAAAAAGAGAAAAAGAAAAACTTTATAAGACTGGGATGCTTGAATGTGCGTGGATGTAGTGCGGATGACAAGAAACAGATGATGCTGATGATATGAATGAAAAGAAGTTGGATGTCCTGGCCCTAAGCAAAACAAAGCTGAAGGGGTAGGGGAGTTTCGGTGGGGGGAAATAAATGGATTAAATCTGGAGTATCTTAGAGAGTTAGAGCAAAGGAAGGGGTAGCAGTAATGTTGAAGGATCAGTTATGGAAGGAGAAAAGAGAATATGAATGTGTAAATTCAAGAATTATGTGGATTAAAGTAAAGGTTGGATGCGAAAAGTGGGTCATAATAGCGTGTATGCACCTGGAGAAGAGAGGAATGTAGAGGAGAGAGAGAGATTTTGGGAGATGTTAAGTGAATGTATAGGAGCCTTTGAACCAAGTGAGAGAGTCATTGTGGTAGGGGATCTGAATGCTAAAGTAGGAGAAACTTTTAGAGAGGGTGTGGTAGGTAAGTTTGGGGTGCCAGGTGTAAATGATTATGGAAGCCCTTTGATTGAACTTTGTATAGAAAGGGGTTTAGTTATAGGTAATACATATTTTAAGAAAAAGAGGATAAATAAGTATACAAGATATGATGTAGGGCGAAATGACAGTACAGTGGACCCCTGCACAACGATCAGCTCCCAACTCGACCAGTTATGTAAGTGTATTTTTGTAAGTGCTTTTGTAGGTGTATTTTTGGGGGTCTGAAATGGACTAATCTAATTCACAATATCTCTTACAGGAACAAATTCGGTCTATAACGGCACCCAAACAAACTTCGGGATAGAAATAATATCGTTATGCGGGGGTCCACTGTAGTTTGTTGGATTATGTATTGGTAGATAAAAGACTGTTGAGTAGACTTCAGCATGTACATGTTTATAGAGGGGCCACAGATATATCAGATCACTTTCTAGTTGTAGCTACACTGAGAGTAAAAGGTAGATGGGATAAAGGAGAATAGAAGCATCAGGGAAGAGAGAGGTGAAGGTTTATAAACTAAAAGAGGAGGCAGTTAGGGTAAAATATAAACAGCTATTGGAGGATAGATGGGCTAATGAGAGCATAGGAAATGGGGTCGAAGAGGTATGGGGTAAGTTTAAAAATGTAGTGTCAGTGTGTTCAGCAGAAGTTTGTGGTTACAGGAAAGTGGGTGTGGGAGGGAAGAGGAGCGACTGGTGGAATGATGATGTAAAGAGAGTAGTAAGGGAGAAAAAGTTAGCATATGAGAAGTTTTTACAAGTAGAAGTGATGCAAGGTGGGAAGAGTATATGGAGAAAAAGAGAGATGTTAAGAAGTGGTGAAGCAATGTAAAAAGAGAGCAAATGAGAGAGTGGGTGAGATGTTATCAACAAATTTTGTTGAAAATAAGAAAAAGTTTTGGAGTGAGATTAACAAGTTAAGGAAGCCTAGAGAACAAATGGATTTGTCAGTTAAAATAGGAGAGAGAGGTTATTATAATGGGAGATTAGAGGTTTGGGAAAGATGAAGGGAATATTTTGAGGAATTGTATAATTGTTTGACAGGAATAGGAAGCAGTATTTCGTGTATAGGCAAGGAGGAATAATTTGTAGAGCGAGAAGATGCCATAGTTGTGAGGTGGATGGGGAAGTTCGTGAGCAGTAGGTAAATGAAAGGGGTAAGGCAGCCGGGATTGATGGGATAAGATAGAAATGTTAAAAGCAGGTGGGATAAGTTTTGAGTGTTGGTGCAATTATTTGAATAAATGTATGAAGATGGTAAGGTACCTAGGGATTGGCAGAGAGCATGCATAGTTCCTTTGTATAAAGGCAAGGGGACAAAAGAGAGTGAAATAATTATAGGGGATAAGTCTGTTGAGTATACCTGGGAAAGTGTATGGAGAGTTATTATTGAAGAATTAAGAAATAGGAGAATAGGATAGCAGATGAACAAGGAGACTTTAGGAAGGTAGGGGTGTGTGGACCAGGTGTTTACAGTGAAAATAAAGGAACAGTATTAGAATAAGCTAAAGAGGTATTGTTGGATTTATTGATTTGAAAAGGGTATGAAGGGTGGACAGGGGGCATTGGGCAGAGATTGCAGGTGTATGGTTAGGAAGGTAGGTTACTGAAAGCAGTGAAGAGTTTATTAGAGGATAGTGAGGCTCAAGTTAGAGTATGTAGGAATGAGGGAATTATTACAGTAAAATAGGCTAGACAAGGATGTGTGATGTCAACAGTGGTTGTTTAATATAATTATAGAGGAGTTGTAAGAGAAGTAAAGCGAGGGTCTGCAAACGTGTGATTAAAAGATAAAGAATCACACATAAGTGGGAGTTGTCAACAGTTGCTACTTTGCTGATGACACTGGCTCTTGGGGAATTTGAAGAGAAGTTGCAGGTGATGGTGGATGAATTTGGTAGGCTGCAAAAGGAAGAATTAATAGTGAATACAGGAAAGATGAGGTTATGAGGATACAAAAGATTAGGTATAGAAAAGTATTGGATACAATTGGAGGGTGATGTATGGAGAGGTGAATGTATTCATATATTTGGGATGTGGAAGGTCAGCGATGGGTCTTTCAAAAGATGGGTAAATCATAGAATTATGAGGGGAAAGGGTGATGTCTGTGCACTTAGGAGTTCTGTGAGACAAAGACTTTGTTCCTTGGGGAGGCAAAGAGGGAATTGTAATGAAGAGTATAGGTTTTAACCAACGCTCTATTGGGTGTGAAGCATGGGGATGAATGTTCAATGCGAGGAGAGAGTCTGGAGGCAGTGAGATGTCAATGTCTGAGGGCAATGTGGGTGGTTAATATAAGCAGAGGGAATTCGTTAGTTTGGGGAAGTTAGGGGAGTGGGTGCGGGTTAACAAAAAACTGTTGTCCAGAGGGCTGAGGAAGGGTTTGAGATGGTTCGACATGTACAGAGAATGAGCAAAAACAGATGACTTCAAGAGTGTATCAGTCTGTAGTGGAAGGAAGGCGGGGTAGGGGTCGGCCTAGGAAAGGTTGGAGGGAGGGGGTAAAGGAGGTTTTGTGTGCGAGGGGCTTGGACTTCCAGCAGGCATGCGTGAGCATGTTTGATAGGAGTGAATGGAGACGAATGGTTTTTTAATACTTGACGTGCTGTTGGAGTGTGAGCAAAGTAACATTTATGAAGGGGTTCATGGAAACAGGCAGGCCGGACTTGAGTCCTGGAGATGGGAAGTACAGTGCCTGCACTCTGAAGGAGGGGTGTTAATGTTGCAGTTTAAAAACTGTAGTGTAAAGCACCCTTCTGGCAAGACAGTGATGGAGTGAATGGTGGTGAAAGTTTTTCTTTTTCGGGCCACCCTGCCTTGGTGGGAATCGGCCAGTGTGATAATAATAATAAAAAAATAAAATAAGTTTTAGTATCTCCGGAAAAAGATTCTCTATCGTTTCATAAGATTTTTTTCTTTTTTGAAAATTCCCCGATCTTGAGAGCAAATTTCAGATCAGGGGGGTGCGACTCCTCAAAGGGTTAAGGCTGAGGCAATAACTCCCAACAAAACACAACATACTTACGTTCTTCCTGTGCAGTCGTAAGCTGCTCCCTAAACCTAGAAACTTCATCGCGCAGGTGTTGGATGTGTGAGGAAAGATTATTCGCTCGGTCTCCCTGATTAAAGTCAGCTGGAGATGGAGGGTTGGAGATAGGTTGTTCTAACTTGCCCTGCAGCATCCTGTGTAAACATAATAATCACGCTATTAACAGACTTATAAATATATAATGTAGGAATGAGACATTACCAAAATTTCTGCCAATATCAACACCTATATAAGGCCATCAAAATTAGCCAATACCCACTGACACAGATTTTGGCACACACCATGTGTGCGTTTATATGAGTACAGTGGTACCCTGAGTTTCGTACAGCTCCCAGCTCGAACAATTAAGTGTATGACTCACGAAATCGTAATGACACGATTGCAAACAAACCATACCCCGGCCAGGATTGAACCCGCGGTCAGAGAGTCTCAAAACTCCAGCTCGTCTCGTTAGCCACTAGACCAGCTAGCCACAATAAGATTCGTCCAACTAGGTATATTTCTACACCATAGGAAGGTTAGCACAGGCACCACTGTGACCACAAATGCAAGTTTTTACAGACGAATCTCCAGCTAGCATGGCCGTGACGAGCTCTAGCTCAAGTCCCTTCACTGCCGTCAACATGACTCACGAAATCGTAATGACACGATTGCAAACAAACCATACCCCGGCCGGGATTGAACCCGCGGTCAGAGAGTCTCAAAACTCCAGCCCGTCGCGTTAGCCACTAGACCAGCTAGCCACAATAAGATTTGTCCAACTAGGTGTAGAAATATACCTAGTTGGACGAATCTTATTGTGGCTAGCTGGTCTAGTGGCTAACGCGACAGGCTGGAGTTTTGAGACTCTCTGACCGCGGGTTCAATCCCGGCCGGGGTATGGTATGTAAGTGTATTATTGTAAGTGTATTTTGGGGGGTCTGAAACAGACTACTGTAATTTATGTTATTCCTTATGGGAACAAATTCGTTCGGTAACGGCACTCGAACAGCTTTCTGGAACGAATTATGGCCAAAACTCGGGGTACCACTGTACAGTGGACCCCCGTCTTACGATATTAATCCGTTCCTGAGAGCTCGCCGAAATTATCGTTACCCAAACTAATTTTCCCCATGAGAAACAATGGAAATCAAATTAATCCGTTCCTGACACCCCAAAGTATGAAAAAAAAAAAATTTTTTTTACATTAAATATTAATTTTAATGCACACAAACTGAAGAAGACATGCACAATTACTACTCTAAGAATAGAATACATGGCACTTACCTTTATTGAAGATCTAGTGATGATTGATGGGATGGGAGGAGGGGAGTGTGTGGAAGTTATTGTTTAGAAGGGGAATCCCCTTCCATTAGGACATGAGGTAGCAAGTCCTTTTACCGGGGTTACTTCCCTTCTTCTTTTAATGCCACTAGGACCAGCTTGAGAGTCACTGGACCTCTGTCGCACAACAAATCTGTCCATAGAGCTCTGTACCTCCCGTTCCTTTAAGACTTTCCTAAAATGGGCCATAACATTGTCATTGTATAGGTTGCCAACACGGCTTGCAGTAGCTGTGTCAGGGTGATTTTCATCCGTAAAGGTTTGCAGTTCAACCCACTTTGCACACATTTCCTTAATCTTTTTTTTCAGTTCCATACTAATTCTCACCCTTTTTACCACAGGGATGGCACTAGAAGCTTTCTTGGGGTCCATGGTGACTTATTTTGCAGTTACAAGCACTACAAACACTGGGATAATGTGAAATGTACCGAATGTATATGTAATGCGACCGCACTGGCGCTGAGGCCACATGTGGGACGCATCCCAGACGAATCACGTAAGGCGAGTTTTTTATCGTGAGGCGAGGCAAAATTTTTGCGTTCAAATGCTTCGTATGGTGGATTTAACGCAACGCGATGCGTTCGTAAGGCGGGGGTCCACTGTATTATACAGTAGAACCCCTGTATCCACAGATTCAGTTATTCAGGGTTTACCATGACCCAAAAATAACCCTTAATTTTGCTCAATAATGGCACCAAAGCATAAAAAAGTAGCAATAGTGGCACTTCTTCAAAGCCACAGAGAAGCCGTGAAGTGCTTCCCATCCATGAAAAAGGAGAAAATTCTCCATTTATTGTGCATAATTTATCATTTAAACTTTATCACAGGTATGTATGAAAAAAAAGACATGATATATATATATATATATATATATATATATATATATATATATATATATATATATATATATATAATTTATATATAATAATATATATATATATATTATTATTATTATTATTTTTTTTTATTATCACACGGCCGATTCCCACCAAGGCAGGGTGGCCCGAAAAAGAAAACTTTCACCATCATTCACTCCATCACTGTCTTGCCAGAAGGGGTGCTTTACACTACAGTTTTTAAACTGCAACATTAAACACCCCTCCTTCAGAGTGCAGGCACTGTACTTCCCATCTCCAGGACTCAAGTCCGGCCTGCCGGTTTCCTGAATCCCTTCATAAATGTTACTTTGCTCACACTCCAACAGCACGTCAAGTATTAAAAACCATTTGTCTCCATTCACTCCTATCAAACACGCTCAACGCATGCCTGCTGGAAGTCCAAGCCCCTCGCACACAAAACCTCCTTTACCCC